GTAGTAGCAGTAGTAGTGGTGGTAGCAGTAATAGTAGTGGCAGTAGTAGCGGCGGTAGTAGTAGTGGTGGTAGCAGTAGTAGTAGTGGCAGCAGCAGTAGTAGTAGTGGCAGCAGTAGTGGCAGTAGTAGTGGCAGCAGTAGTAGTAGTGGTGGTAGCAGTAGTAGCAGTAGTAGTGGCAGTAGTAGCAGCGGTAGTAGTAGTGGTGGTAGCAGTAGTAGTTAGTGGCAGCAGTAGTAGCAAGTAGTAGTAGTGGCAGCAGTAGTAGGTAGTAGTGGCAGCAGCAGTAGTCAGTAGTGGCAGCAGTAGTAGTGGCAGCAGTAGTAGCGGCAGTAGTAGTAGTGGCAGTAGTAGTCTGCGGCAGCAGTAGTCAGCAGTAGTAGTAGTGGCAGCAGCAGTAGTAGTAGTGGCAGCAGTAGTAGTGGCAGCAGCAGCAGCAGCAGTAGTAGCGGCAGCAGTAGCAGCAGTAGTGGCAGCAGCAGCAGTAGTAGTAGCAGCAGCAGTAGTGGCAGCAGCAGTAGTGGCAGCAGCAGTAGTGGCAGCAGTAGTAGTAGCAGCAGTAGCAGCAGCAGTAGTGGCAGCAGTAGTGGCAGCAGCAGCAGTAGTAGTAGCAGCAGTAGTGGCAGCAGTAGTAGTAGCAGCAGCAGTAGTAGTAGTAGTGGCAGCAGCAGCAGTAGTAGTAGTGGCAGCAGCAGAAGTAGTGGAATTCCTGAAGTGTGCCACGTGAAGAGAAAACATTTCCCCTCCCAACGACGTAAGAACGATGAAGTTTGGGGAGATCACGACGTGCGCTGCGAGACGGCGGGGGGGGGGGGTACACAGAGACCTATAGACTCGCACAGAGACCCATAGACTCACACAGAGGCCTACAGACTCACACAGAGGCCCACAGACTCACACAGAGACCCATAGACTCACACAGAGACCCATAGACTCACACAGAGACCCGTAGACTCACAGAGACCCGTAGGCTCACACAGAGACCCATAGATTCACCACGCTGGGACCCATAGACTCACAATGGGACCCATAGACTCACAATGGGACCCATAGACACACCGATACTCAGACTCACACAGACACATAGACACACCGATACCCAGACTCACACAGATCCATAGACTCACCACAATGGGACCCATAGACTCACACAGAGACCCATAGACTCACAGAGACCCATAGACTCACACAGAGACCCATAGACTCACACAGAGATCCATAGACTCACACAGAGACCCGTAGACTCACACAGAGACCCATAGACTCACACAGAGACCCATAGACTCACACAGAGACCCATAGACTCACACAGAGACCCATAGGCTCACACAGAGACCCATAGGCTCACACAGAGACCCATAGACTCACAGAGACCCATAGACTCACACAGAGACCCATAGACTCACACAGAGACCCATAGACTCGCACAGAGACCCGTAGACTCACACAGAGACCCGTAGACTCACACAGAGACCCGTAGACTCACACAGAGACCCATAGACTCACACAGAGACCCGTAGACTCACACAGAGACCCATAGACTCACACAGAGACCCATAGACTCACACAGAGACCCATAGGCTCACACAGAGACCCATAGACTCACACAGAGACCCATAGACTCACACAGAGACCCCTAGACTCACACAGAGACCCATAGGCTCACACAGAGACCCATAGACTCACACAGAGACCCGTAGACTCACACAGAGACCCATAGACTCACCACACAGAGACCCGTAGACTCGCACAGAGACCCGTAGACTCACATAGAGACCCATAGACTCACACAGAGACCCATAGACTCACACAGAGACCCATAGGCTCACACAGAGACCCATAGGCTCACACAGAGACCCATAGGCTCACACAGAGACCCATAGACTCACACAGAGACCCATAGACTCACACAGAGACCCATAGACTCACACAGAGACCCGTAGACTCACACAGAGACCCGTAGACTCACATAGAGACCCGTAGACTCACACAGAGACCCGTAGACTCACACAGAGACCCATAGACTCACACAGAGACCCATAGACTCACACAGAGACCCATAGGCTCACACAGAGACGCACAGGCTCACACAGAGACCCATAGGCTCACAGAGACCTACAGACTCACACAGAGACCCATAGACTCACAGAGACCCATAGACTCACACAGAGACCCATAGACTCACACAGAGACCCATAGACTCACACAGAGACCCATAGGCTCACACAGAGACCCATAGACTCACACAGAGACCCATAGACTCACACAGAGACCCATAGACTCACCACACAGAGACCCGTAAACTCACACAGAGACCCATAGACTCACACAGAGACCCATAGACTCACACAGAGACCCGTAGACTCACACAGAGACCCATAGACTCAGGTAGACTGGATTGTGATTAAACCAGGTTGTCAAGCGTCGCGAGTTGATGGTCTCAGCCCGGTCACTGGAGACTTTGAGAAACACAACGGACATCAAAAGATTGGGTTCAACGCCTTGAGAGTCGAAAACATCGGTCTGACCGTCGCGAAACAACAACAACGACTACAACAACAACGACGACTACAACAACAACGACGACTACAACAACGACTACAACAACAACAACGACGACACTTGAACGCAGGTGGAGGTTCTCGGAGGCGGCTCCGCTACGTCCTCTTCCGCGGGCAGCTCCGCCGGATTCCTCGCAGCGGACTTGCTCCAGCGTGACCCCCAGGGGACAGCGGAGTGGGGGGGGGGGGCAGTGAGGAGCGTGGGAGGGTGGGGGGGAAGAGGGTGGAGGGGGGGAGAGGGTGGGGGGGGGGGGAGAGGGTGGGGGGGAGAAGGTGGGGGGGGAAGAGGGAGGGGGGGAGAGTGAGAGAGGGGGAGAGAGAGAGAGGGAGGGGGGGGAGAGAGTGGGGTAGAGGGGGAGGGAGCAAGTGACAGAGAGGCGAGAGAGAGAGGGAGGGGGAGAGAGGGGGAGAAAGAGGAGAGAGAGAGGGGGGCGAGAGAGAGAGGGGGGGGGGGAGAGAGGGAGAGAGCAAGAGAGAGAGGGGGAGAGAGAGAGGGGAGGGGGAGAGAGGGAGGGGGAGAAAGAGGAGAGAGAGAGGGGGGCGAGAGAGAGAGAGGGGGGGAGAGAGGGAGAGAGGGAGGGAGCAAGAGAGAGAGGGGGGAGAGAGAGAGGGAGGGGGAGAGAGGGAGGGAGCAAGAGAGAGAGGGGGAGAGAGAGAGGGAGGGGGAGAGAGGGGGAGAGAGAGGAGAGAGAGAGAGGGACGAGAGAGAGAGAGAGGGGGGGGGTGGGGGAGAGCACACGCGGTTGACAGCGAGCGGGGCGCGATCACGTGCCGGGCTTGGGCAGCTTGTACATGCCGCCCGTGCAGAGCAGCTGCTGCTCCTTGACCTTGCGGCCCAGGAAGGCTCGCAGCTCGGCCAGGTCGCACTCCCCGCCGGCGCCGCCGCGGGGCCCCCCGCCGCCCCCGCCGCCCCCCGGCCCGATCATGGCGAACATCTTGAGCATGGAGTGGATGCGCTCCAGCGACAGCGTCTCCAGGTTCGTCAGCATGCCCTGGATGTAGGTCCAGAAGACCTGGGGAGAGGGGAGGCAGGGAGGGTGGTGGATCTGCCGGTCATCTCTCGGGCAGTCAACCCATGGCACCTGCTGGGCCTGCCACGTGACTGCCTCCTGCACCTAGCCTGGCACAGTGGGGGGGGGGGGGGGGCACGGGTGGTGCATATCTCTTCTAGATTTGAACCTTTCGTGACTGCAAGGATCCATACTCTTTGGTTCTATTCGGTAAAGTCACGTAGGTAAAAAATAAAACGACAAAAATCACGACGTTTCGGCCACAACAAAAGTGGCCTTCATCGGGTGAAGGGGACCGTACTGTCACGAGGACAGCGTTGGAGTGAAGAAGACAGTCCAGCCCAGGTCGCGTCCTTTTAAGCTGTGTGGGAGGAAACAAAACGCTTTGACAAAGGAATTAGCATAACAATGACCGTAAAGTACAAGAGGACCGGCGGGGAGGGGGGTGTGAAGTGGAACGTGCGGGGTGGGGGAGTTTACAAATTTAAGTGTGAAGTGAAATAAGCTTCTATGAAAGTTTCGTATATCACTACTTGGATAAATACCATTGAAAATTACTTTAATGTTTGGTATGATTTAGAACATCTTTCCAATGGTTGCTTAATTTGAAACCATCTTCTCGGTTGACATTGTGTCTGTGTTTGTAAATCTGAATTGCCTCGTGGATAAATCTCTGATGAAAACCCATGGGTTTACAAAGGACCTTGGTATCGGAGAAAATTATATCGTGATCACCAACAGCGTTGTAACAGTGGTCAGATACGGCAGAAGCATTCGTTCTGCCGTGTTTCAAATCTGATTTGTGCTCACGAATTCGGTCAGAGACATGTCGCTTTGTCTCCCCGATATAGCAATCACCGCAGGTACAACTCAATTTGTAAACCCCGGGGGGTACTGTAAGTCAGGAATGACATCCTTCACGGATGGGATCAGATCACGAATTTTGTGTACTGTATTGAACCGGACCAGGATCTTGTGTTTGTTTAGAATTTTGGAGATCTTTTTAGTAACGCCTGCTATATATGGTAGTGTGATGGTTTTGATCGGAGTATCAAGTGGTTGTTTCTGTATGGAGGGAGAAACAGCTTGGCGGATGGTACGGTCAGAGTAACCATTCCTTTTGAGGGCCAGGTGTACATGTTTTAATTCACTGGTCAGGTGGTGTTGTTCCGAAATGCAATGAGCCCTGTGGTATAACGTTTTGATGAGAGAATTCTTTTGAGTTGGGTGGTGGTGGGAATCGGGTTTCAAGTAGGAATCTGTGTGGGTGGGTTTCCTGTAGACAGAATGTCCCAATGAGCCATCAGGTCTCCTCTCTGAGAAGATGGTTTCAAATTAAGCAACCATTGGAAAGATGTTCTCAATCATACCAAACATTAAACTAATGTTCAATGGTATTTATCCAAGTAGTGATATACCAAACTTTCATAGAAGCTTATTTCACTTCACACCTACATTTGTAAACTCCCCCACCCCGCCCGTGCCGGTCCTCTTGTGCTTTACGGTCACTTTATGCTAATTCCTTTGTCAAAGCGTTTTGTTTCCTCCCACACAGCTTAAAAGGACGCGACCTGGGCTGGACTGTCTTCTTCACTCCAGCGCTGTCCTCGTGACAGCACGGTCCCCTTCACCTGACGAAGGCCCGCTTGTGTTGTGGCCGAAACGTCGTGATTTTTGTCGTTTTATTTTTTACCTACGTGGTGACTTTACCGAATAGAACCAAAGAGTGTGGTGCATACCCGCCGGTCATCTCTCGGGCAGTCAACCCATGGCACCTGCTGGGCCTGTCACGTGACCGCCTCCTGCACCTAGCCTGGCACAGTGGGGGGGGGGGGGGCACGGGTGGTGCATACCCGCCGGTCATCTCTCGGGCAGTCAACCCATGGCACCTGCTGGGCCTGTCCCGCGACCCGCAGGCCGGCGGAGCCTTCCGCACTTGACGCGACCGCCTCAGAGCGTTCACCTGGCCTGGCGCGGGCGCCGCGGTCCCCGCGCCAGGCTAGGTGCGCCGCGGGGCGGGGGGGGCGGAGTCACCCACCTGCATACTCCTCCTCCTTCTGGTCGGCCTGCGACGCCATTGCCGAGTCGTTGTCGTCGTCCGAGTCGAGCAGCAGCAGCAGCAGGCCGCTGTCGTCCTGCCGGCCGTGGCCTTCGGCGCCCCCCGCCCCGCCCCCCCCCGGACCCCCCGCCACCCCCGCCCCCCCCGGCCCGGCCCCCCCCCGCCCGACGACGACGACGACGCCGCCGCCCCCCCCCCGAGCCCCCCCCCGCCACCGCTCCTCCCGGGGCCCCCGGCCCCCCCCCCCCCGCCGAGCCCCCGGGGCCGCCCCCCGTCCCGTCGGGCCCCGCCGGCCCCCCGCCCTCGAGGAGGGAGAAGCGGTCGGCGGGCCCCTCGCGGAGGACGCGGTGCTGCTGCCACAGCGCCAGCTTCTTGCGCAGCGACGGCGCCGGCACCTTCAGCGCCTCGGACAGCTCCTGCAGGCTCCACGAACCTGCGGGCGGGGGGACACGGTGGGACACGGGGGGACACGGTGGGACACGGTGGGACACGGTGGGACACGGTGGGACACGGTGGGACACGGTGGGACACGGGGGGACACGGGGGACACGGGGGACACGGGGACACGGGGGACACGGGGACACAGGGGAGACGGGGGAGACGGGAGACACGGTGGGACATGGGAGACACGGGAGACACGGGGGACACGGGGGGCACGGTGGGACACGGGGGACACGGTGGGACACGGGGGACACGGGGGACACGGGAGACACGGGGAAGACGAGGGACACGGGAGACACGGGGGACACGGTGGGACACGGGGGACACGGGGGACACGGGGGACACGGGGGACACGGGGGACACGGGGGACACGGGAGACACGGGGGACACGGGGGACACGGGAGACACGGTGGGACACGGGGGACACGGTGGGACACGGGGGACACGGGGAACACGGTGGGACACGGTGGGACACGGTGGGACACGGGGGACACGGGGGACACGGTGGGACATAGGCGACTTCACCAGCGCCTCGGACAGCCTCTGCAGGCAACACGAGGCTGCGGGCAACGTGGCGTGACGGGCAATGTGCACATAGGCTCAGTCGCCTCCCCGTCTCTCCTCTATCGCTACGACGACTCCCATGGGGGCGAGTGCTCCCGAGTCCCTCCGCCCGCTCCACGTCCAGGGCCGTCAACGACCCCGACCCCCCGCAGGCGCCACGGAGGACCCGGCCATTGCGGGGCCGCGGGGCCGACCGCCCGACCGCCCGACCGACCTTTGTCCTGGAAGTGCATGATGATGGCGGCGTGGACGGGAGACACGGAGAGCGAGAGCGATCGTCCGCCAGCCAGGTGGACGTCCAGCGACACGAGGCCCAGGTGAGGCTTCCACACGAGCGAGCGCGCCGCCTATTCGCGCTCACACACACGCAGGCACACACACACACACACACGTACGCACACGCACACACACGTATGCACGCAGGCACACGCACGCACACACACGTACGCACACGCACACACACGTATGCACACGCGCGCACACACACGCAGGCACACACACGCACGCAGGCACACGCACGCACACACACACGTATGCACACGCACACACACGTACGCACACGCACACACACGCAGGCACACACAAACACAATCAGATGCACACACACGTATGCACACACACACGTGTACACGCAAAGGTCCCCCCGTGTAGACCACACGGGCAAGTGCTGTGAGTGAGCGGTGATCACGTGAGTGAGCGGTGGTCACGTGACCGAGCGAGTGAGCGGTGGTCACGTGACCGAGCGAGCGGTGGTCACGTGACCGAGCGAGCGGTGGTCACGTGACCGAGCGAGCGGTGGTCACGTGAGTGAGCGGTGGTCACGTGAGTGAGTGAGTGGTGGTCACGTGAGCGAGCGGTGGTCACGTGACCGAGTGAGCGGTGGTCACGTGACTAAGCGAGCGGTGGTCACGTGACCGAGCGAGCGAGCGGTGTTCACGTGACTGAGCGAGCGGTGGTCACGTGACCGAGCGGTGGTCACGTGACCGAGCGGTGGTCACGTGACCGAGCGGTGGTCACGTGAGTGAGCGAGCGGTGGTCACGTGAGTGAGTGGTGGTCACGTGAGTGAGTGAGCGGTGGTCACGTGAGTGAGTGGTGGTCACGTGAGTGAGTGAGTGGTGGTCACGTGAGTGAGCGGTGGTCACGTGAGTGAGCGAGCGGTGGTCACGTGAGTGAGCGAGTGAGCGGTGGTCACGTGAGTGAGTGGTGGTCACGTGAGTGAGTGAGCGGTGGTCACGTGAGTGAGTGGTGGTCACGTGAGTGAGCGAGCGGTGGTCACGTGAGCGAGCGGTGGTCACGTGAGTGAGTGAGCGGTGGTCACGTGAGTGAGCGGTGGTCACATGAGTGAGTGAGTGGTGGTCACGTGAGTGAGCGAGCGGTGGTCACGTGAGTGAGTGGTGGTCACGTGAGTGAGTGAGCGGTGGTCACGTGACCGAGCGGCGGTCACGTGACCGAGTGAGCGGTGGTCACGTGACCGAGCGGTGGTCACGTGAGTGAGCGAGCGGTGGTCACGTGACCGAGCGAGCGGTGGTCACGTGAGTGAGTGAGCGAGCGGTCTGGCGAGCGACTGGGTAAGCGAGCGACGGAGCGAGCGACTGTGGCCACCGTCGCGCGATCCGTCATCTCCCCCCCCCCCCCCGCCCCGCCCCTTTCCCGCGAGGCCCTCACCTTGAGCTTCTCGTACTCGCGCGTGTACGCCTCCATCACCTCCTTCACCGCAGCCGGCAGCTCCAGCTTGCCCTCCTTGAGCGGGGGCCAGAACTCTCCCGAGAGGATCATCGCGTTGAGCGGCACCGGCGCGGCGGGGCCCCCGGGCCACTCGCCCCCCTCCTCCCCCGCCTCTTCCCCCACCTCCTCATCCCCGTGTCCCTCTCCACGCTCTCCGCCCTCCCCCCCCTCTCTCCCCTCCTCCTCCTCCTCCCCCACCGCCTCCATCCCGCCTTGCGTCGCCGCCGGCTCCTGGCCTCCGTGCGAGCCGTCATCGCCGGCTCCCGGGGCCGCGGGCGCTTCCTCCGACGATCCTTCGCCACCGCCGCCTCCTCCCGCACCTCCTCCTCCTCCACCTCCTCCACCAGCTCCTCCTCCACCACCACCACCTCTGCGAGCCTCCAGGATGTTGCTGTTTATCCGACGCGAGTCGGCTACATCCTGCCAACGGGAGTCACGGTAGCAGCGACTCAACGGGTGACAGGGAGGCGAGTGGCCGCCGGCGGAGCGAGCGACTGGGCGTGTGGAGTGGCGAGTGAAGATTCACGGCAACGAAGCTGAGAGCAGACTGAAGAGCGGGTGGGTGGGCGGGTCAGTGAGAGAGTGGGTGGGTAGGGTGAGAGAGCAAGCGAGCGGGCGAGCGATTGGGAGAGCGGCCGAGCGATTGGGTGAGTGATTGGGCGAGCGATTGGGCGAGCGATTGGGCGAGCGATTGGGTGAGTGATTGGGCGAGTGATTGGGTGAGCGATTGGGTGAGCGATTGGGCGAGTGATTGGGCGAGTGATTGGGCGAGTGATTGGGCGAGTGATTGGGTGAGTGATTGAGCGACCGATTGGGCGAGCGATTGGGCGAGCGATTGGGCGAGCGATTGGGCGAGCAATTGGGCGAGCGATTGGGTGAGCGATTGGGCGAGCGATTGGGCGAGCGATTGGGCGAGCGATTGGGCGAGCGATTGGGCGAGCGATTGGGCGAGCGATTGGGTGAGCGATTGGGCGAGCGATTGGGCGAGCGATTGGGCGAGCGATTGGGTGAGTGATTGAGCGACCGATTGGGCGAGCGATTGGGCGAGCGATTGGGCGAGCGATTGGGCGAGCGATTGGGCGAGCGATTGGGTGAGCGATTGGGCGAGCGATTTGGTGAGCGATTTGGTGAGCGATTGTGTGAGCGATTGGGTGAGCGATTGGGCGAGCGATTGGGCGAGCGATTGGGCGAGTGATTGGGCGAGTGATTGGGTGAGTGATTGGGAGAGTGATTGGGCGAGCGATTGGCCGAGTGATTGGGTGGGTGATTGCGAGCCCGGGGACGCTGGTGCCCCCACCCCTCACCTTGAGCATCACCTCACAGCGGTGCATGAAAACGTCTCCAAAGCGCAGCTTGAGCAGCTCCAAGTTGCGGATCTCCCTGAGACAGCGGGCGGGGGGGGCAGATTGTAGCAGTGTAGATGTGTATGGTAGTGTGTATGGTAGTGTGTGTAGCAGTGTGTGTAGCAGTGTGTGTAGCGGTGTGTATGGTAGTGTGTATAGTGGTGTGTATGGTAGTGTGTATAGTGGTGTGTATGGTAGTGTGTATGGTAGTGTGTGTAGCAGTGTGTATAGTGGTGTGTATGGTAGTGTGTGTAGCAGTGTGTATAGTGGTGTGTATGGTAGTGTGTGTAGCAGTGTGTATAGTAGTGTGTATGGTAGTGTGTGTAGCAGTGTGTGTAGCGGTGTGTATGGTAGTGTGTGTAGCAGTGTGTGTAGCAGTGTGTATGGTAGTGTGTGTAGCAGTGTGTATAGTGGTGTGTATGGTATTGTGTATAGTGGTGTGTATGGTAGTGTGTATGGTAGTGTGTGTAGCAGTGTGTGTAGCGGTGTGTATGGTAGTGTGTGTAGCAGTGTGTATAGTGGTGTGTATGGTAGTGTGTGTAGCAGTGTGTGTAGCGGTGTGTATGGTAGTGTGTATAGTGGTGTGTATGGTAGTGTGTGTAGTGGTGTGTATGGTAGTGTGTATGGTAGTGGCGTGTGTGTGTATGGTAGCGGCGTGTGTGTGTGTATGGTAGTGGTGTGTGTGTGTGTATGGTAGTGGCGTGTGTGTGTGTATGGTAGTGGCGTGTGTGTGTGTATGGTAGCGGCGTGTGTGTGTGTATGGTAGCGGCGTGTGTGTGTGTATGGTAGTGGCGTGTGTGTGTATGGTAGTGGCGTGTGTGTGTGTGTATGGTAGCGGCGTGTGTGTGTGTATGGTAGCGGCGTGTGTGTGTGTGTGTATGGTAGTGGCGTGTGTGTGTATGGTAGTGTGTATGGTGGTGTGTATGGTAGTGGCGTGTGTGTATGTATGGTAGTGGCGTGTGTGTGTGTGTGTATGGTAGTGGCGTGTGTGTGTGTATGGTAGCGGCGTGTGTGTATGGTAGTGGCGTGTGTGTGTGTATGGTAGTGGCGTGTGCGTGTGTATGGTAGCGGCGTGTGTGTGTGTGTGTATGGTAGTGGCGTGTGTGTGTGTATGGTAGTGGCGTGTGTGCGAGTATGGTAGTGGCGTGTGTGTGTGTATGGTAGTGGCGTGTGTGTGTGTGTATGGTAGTGGCATGTGTGTGTGTATGGTAGTGGCGTGTGTGTGTGTGTATGGTAGTGTAGTGGCGTGTGTGTGTGTGTGTATGGTAGTGGCGTGTGTGTGTGTGTATGGTAGTGGCGTGTGTGTGTATGGTAGTGGCATGTGTGTGTGTATGGTAGTGGCGTGTGTGTGTGTGTGTGTATGGTAGTGGCGTGTGTGTGTGTATGGTAGTGGCGTGTGTGTGTGTGTATGGTAGTGGCGTGTGTGTGTGTGTATGGTAGTGGCATGTGTGTGTGTATGGTAGTGGCGTGTGTGCGTGTGTGTATGGTAGTGGCGTGTGTGTGTGTGTGTATGGTAGTGGCGTGTGTGTGTATGGTAGTGGCGTGTGTGTGTGTATGGTAGTGGCGTGTGTGTGTGTGTGTATGGTAGCGGCGTGTGTGTGTGTGTATGGTAGCGGCGTGTGTGTGCGTGTATGGTAGCGGCGTGTGTGTGTGTATGGTAGCGGCGTGTGTGTGTGTGTGTATGGTAGCGGCGTGTGTGTGTGTGTGTATGGTAGCGGCGTGTGTGTGTGTATGGTAGTGGCGTGTGTGTGTGTGTATGGTAGTGTAGTGGCGTGTGTGTGTATGGTAGTGGCGTGTGTGTGTGTGTGTATGGTAGTGGCGTGTGTGTGTGTATGGTAGCGGCGTGTGTGTGTGTATGGTAGCGGCGTGTGTGTGTGTATGGTAGTGGCGTGTGTGTGTATGGTAGCGGCGTGTGTGTGTGTATGGTAGTGGCGTGTGTGTGTGTATGGTAGCGGCGTGTGTGTGTGTATGGTAGCGGCGTGTGTGTGTGTATGGTAGTGGGGTGTGTGTGTGTATGGTAGTGGCGTGTGTGTATGGTAGCGGCGTGTGTGTGTGTATGTATGGTAGTGGCGTGTGTGTGTGTGTATGGTAGTGGCGTGTGTGCGAGTGGCGAAGCCGCACCGGGCCATGTTGTAGTTGAAGTGGTGGAGTATCCGGTCCGCCAGCAGCGTGTGGTACTCGTTAATGAACACCTCTTTGCTGCCGTAGATGCTGACGAGGAGGCTGATGATGTCGAAGGATCGTCGCCCCAAACCGGACTTCACTGGGGCCGGGGTCAAGGGTCAAGGGTCCAGGTCAGGGTCAAAGTTGTGGTGTCGTAGTGGAGCCCATAATGTATACTAGAGTACGGTATCGTAGTGTAGTGTATAATGTATAGTAATGTATGGTATCGTAGTTAAGTGTATAATGTATAGTAATGTATGGTATCGTAGTTAAGTGTATAATGTATAGTAATGTATGGCATCGTAGTTAAGTGTATAATGTATAGTAATGTATGGTATCATAGTTAAGTGTATAATGTATAGTAATGTATGGTATCGTAGTGTAGTGTATAATGTATAGTAATGTATGGTATCGTAGTTAAGTGTATAATGTATAGTAATGTATGGTATCGTAGTGTAGTGTATAATGTATAGTTGTGTACAGTAGTGTAGTGTATAATGTATACTAGAGTACAGTATCATAGTGTAGTGTATAATGTATAGTAATGTATGGTATCGTAGTTAAGTGTATAATGTATAGTAATGTATGGTATCGTAGTGTAGTGTATAATGTATAGTTGTGTACAGTAGTGTAGTGTATAATGTATACTAGAGTACAGTATCGTAGTGTAGTGTATAATGTATAGTAATGTATGGTATCGTAGTTAAGTGTATAATGTATAGTAATGTATGGTATCGTAGTGTAGTGTATAATGCATAGTTGTGTACAGTAGTGTAGTGTATAATGTATACTAGAGTACAGTATTGTAGTGTAGTGTATAATGTATAGTAATGTATGGTATCATAGTATAATGTATAGTTGTGGACAGTAGTGCAGTGTATAATGTATACTAGAGTACAGTATTATAGTGTAGTGTATAATGTATAGTAATGTATGGTATCGTAGTGTAGTGCATAATGTATAGTTGTGTACAGTATTCTAGTGTATAATGTATACTAGAGTACAGTATTATAGTGTAGTGTATAATGTATAGTAATGTATGGTATCGTAGTTAAGTGTATAATGTATAGTAATGTATGGTATCATAGTATAATGTACAGTTGTGTACAGTAGTGTAGTGTATAATGTATACTAGAATACAGTATTATAGTGTAGTGTATAATGTATAGTAATGTATGGTATCGTAGTGGAGTGTATAATGTATAGTTGTGTACAGTAGTGCAGTGTATAATGTATACTAGAATACAGTATTATAGTGTAGTGTATAATGTATAGTAATGTATGGTATCGTAGTGTAGTGTATAATGTATAGTTGTGTACAGTATTGTAGTGTATAATGCATAGAAGGGTACGGAAACGTAGTGTAGTATGTATTGCAGGGTCGTGTACAGTATATAAAATTCTCATGTACAGTGTAGTGTGTAGTAGTGCACAGTAGTGTAGTGTAGTATGTAGTGTATCGTGTATAGAATGTGGCGTAAAGCGTGATGTACAGTGCAGAGTTTCATATATAGTGGATGGGATCGTAGAGTATAATGTACAGTAGTGTATTGTTGTGTACAGTGTGGCGTTTGGTCGTGTACAGTGCCGTGGTGCGGGGATGTTGTGCGGTGACGTAGTGTATAGTATGCTGTTCAGTATATGGTACCGTAGCGTACAATGCAGTGTGTAATGTCCAGTAGTGTATGGTAGCGTAGAGTGTAATCTATAGTAGTGTATCGTAGTATATAGCGTAGTGTATGGTAGTGTACGGTAGTCGTGTAGAGTATGTAGGACGGTGTACACTGTCGGAGTGTCTAGTATAGTATTGTAGTGTAGAGTATTCTGTACGGTGTAGTGTCGTGGTGTAGTGCATAGTGTAGTGTATGGTATAGTAGTGTAGAGTATGCTGTACGATAGACAGTGCCGTAGTGTATAGTGTAGTGTAGGTATACAGTAGAAGAGTATGCTATACGGTGTAGTGTCATAATGTAGTGTAGAGTGTAGTGTATCGCAGTGTAGTGTAGAGTGTAGTGTATCGTAGTGTAGAGTGTAATGTATCGTAGTGTAGTGTAGCATGTAGTGTAGAGTGTATTGTAGTGTAGAGTATATCATAGTGTAGTGCAGTGTAGAGTGTAGAATGTAGTGTAGAGTGTATTGTAGTGTACAGCAGTGTAGAGTGTAGTGCAGTGTAGAGTGTAGAATGTAGTGTAGAGTGTATCGTAGTGTAGAGTGTATCGTAGTGTAGAGTGTAGTGTAGAGTGTAGTGTGTAGTGTAGTGTAGAGTGTAGTGTAGACTGTATCGTAGTGTAGAGTGTAGTGTAGAGTGTAGTGTAGTGTAGAGTGTAGTGTAGTGTAGAGTGTATCGTAGTGTAGAGTGTAGTGTAGTGTAGAGTGTATCGTAGTGTAGAGTGTAGTGTAGAGTGTAGTGTAGTGTAGAGTGTAGTGTATAGTGTAGTGTAGAGTGTATCGTAGTGTAGAGTGTAGTGTAGAGTGTAGTGTAGTGTAGAGTGTAGTGTATAGTGTAGTGTAGAGTGTAGTGTAGTGTAGACTGTATCGTAGTGTAGAGTGCAGTGTAGAGTGTAGTGTAGAGTGTAGTGTAGACTGTATCGTAGTGTAGAGTGCAGTATAGAGTGTAGTGTATAGTGTAGTGTAGAGTGTAGTGTATAGTGTAGTGTAGACTGTATCGTAGTGTAGAGTGCAGTGTAGAGTGTAGTGTAGAGTGTATCGTAGTGTAGAGTGTAGTGTAGAGTATATCGTAGTGTAGAGAGCAGTGTAGAGTGTAGTGTATCATAGTGTAGAGTGTATCATAGTGTAGAGCAGGGGTCGGGAACCTATGGCTCGCGAGCCAGATGTGGCTCTTTTGATGATTGCATATGGCTCGCAGATAAAACAAAATATTCTCACTTGTTTTAATCCATCCATCGATTTTTCACTGCGCATGTCCTGTTCAGGGCTGCAGGAGCAATTGTCCATTATTTTAATTGGATGATACTGGCCTACGTTTGCCGTTGCTGGGTAAAACAGGTAAACGCCCCCTTTTGAATCAGTCTGAGACTGCGTCTGCTCGGTCATTAGCTCAAAGCTAACCCTTCGACGAAGAAGATGGCGAAAAGAAAAAAAGACGACGAGTATCGTACATTTCAGGACGAATGGACCGAAGAATTCGCCTTTGTGGAGAGAGCGGGTTCTGCGGTGTGTCTAATTTGCAATGACAAAATTACATCGTTGAAACGGTCGAATGTAAAGCGGCACTTCGACACGCGCCACGCTACCTTTGCATCAAAATACCCTGCGGGAGACAGCAGAAAGAAAGCGTGCCAAGAGCTTCTGAGCAGGGTGCAAGCTAGCCAGCAGCAACTCCGCGTATGGACCCGGCAAGGTGACTATAATTCGGCTAGCTTTGCTGGTTCTTTAGCAATAGTGAGGAACGGAAAACCATTCACAGATGGCGAGTATGCTAAAACGTTCATGCTGGATGTAGCCAATGAACTTTTTGATGATCTTCCGAACAAAGACAAGATAATCAAACGGATACAAGACATGCCTCTGTCGGCAAGAACTGTTCATGATCATACCATCGTGATGGCAAACAAAGTGGAGGAAACGCAAGTGAAGGACATAAATGCAGCGCCGTTCTTTTCTCTGGCTTTGGATGAGTCAACAGACGTGAGCCATTTGTCGCAGTTCAGCGTGATTGCAAGATATGCTGTTGGTGACACACTGCGCGAAGAAAGTCTTGCTGTTCTGCCATTAAAAGGGTTCACAAGAGGTGAGGATTTATTCAAGTCTTTCATGGAGTTTGCTCAAGAAAAAAGTCTACCTATGGATAAACTTCTCTCAGTGTGTACTGATGGTGCTCCGTGTATGGTGGGGAAAAACAAAGGATTTGTGGCGCTTCTCCGTGAACATGAAAATAGACCCATCCTAAGTTTCCATTGCATTATACACCAGGAGGCACTTTGTGCTCAGATGTGTGACAGGCAGTTTGGCGAAGTGATGTCGCTGGTCATTCGTGTGATCAACTTTATTGTTGCCCGAGCCTTAAATGATCGCCAGTTTAAAACACTGCTGGATGAAGTTGTAAATAACTATCCTGGTCTGCTTTTGCACAGCAATGTGCGTTGGTTGTCAAGAGGGAAGGTGCTTAGCCGTTTTGCGGCTTGCCTGAACGAAATCCGGACTTTCCTTGAAATGAAAGGCGTCGGGCATCCTGAGCTAGCCGACACCGAGTGGCTCCTCAAGTTTTACTATCTCGTAGATCTGACTGAACATCTGAACCAGCTCAACGTGAAAATGCAAGGCATTGGAAATACAGTGTTATCCCTTCAACAAGCTGTATTTGCTTTTGAAAACAAGCTGGAGCTTTTCATCACGGATCTTGAAACAGGTCGTTTACTACATTTTGAAAAACTGAGCCAATTTAAAGATGCATGCACAGCAAGTGAGCCCATTCAAAACCTTGATCTCCACCAGCTAGCTGGCTGCACATCCAGTCTCCTACAGTCCTTCAAAGCACGCTTTGGAGAATTTCGTGAGCACACTCGTCTTTTTAAGTTCATCACCCATCCAAACGAGTGTTCACTGAACACAGCCGACCTGAATTACATCCCTGGTGTCTCCGTCAGAGATTTTGAAGCAGAAGTGGCTGACCTGAAGGCCTCAGACATGTGGGTGAATAAGTTCAAGTCACTGAATGAAGATTTGGAAAGAATCACACGACAGAAAGCGGAGTTGGCGAGCAAGCACATGTGGACAGAAATGAAAAAACTCCAACCCGAAGACCAGCTGATTCTCAAAACTTGGAACGCGCTTCCTGTCACATACCACACACTGCAGCGTGTGAGTATTGCTGTATTGACCATGTTTGGATCTACGTATGCATGTGAGCAGTCATTCTCACATCTTAAAAACATCAAGTCCAACCTACGATCACGTTCAACGGATGAAAGCCTCAACGCTTGCATGAAGCTTAACCTCACCAAGTACCAACCCGACTACAAAGACATCAGCAAATCCATGCAGCACCAGAAGTCACATTAATGGTGAGTGTTATAACAACATTATTTAAAAGAATAAATTCAGAGGCTTATTATACTGACATTTAGTTGAATTCACTTTTAAAATATATTATATGGCTCTCACTGAAATAAATTTCCAAATTTTTTGCTTTCATGGCTCTCTTAGTCAAAAAGGTTCCCGACCCCTGGTGTAGAGTGTAGCGTAGTGTAGTGTAGCATGTATCGTAGTGTAGAGTGTAGTGTATCGTAGTGTAGTGTATCGTAGCGTAGTGTAGAGTGTAGTGTAAAGTGTATCATAGCATAGTGTAGAGTGTAGTGTAGAGTGTAGTGTAGTGTAGAGTGTATCGTAGCGTAGTGTAAAATGTAGTGTAGAGTGTAGCGTGGTGTGGAGTGTATCGTAGCGTAGTGTAGTGTAGCGTAATGTAGTGTAGCGTGTATCGTAGTGTAGTGTATAGTGTATCATAGTGTAGTGTATAGTGTATCGTAGTGTAGTGTATCGTAGTGTAGTGTATCATATCGTCGTGTAGTGTAGCGTATCGTAGTGTAGTGTGTAGTGTAGTGTGTAGTGTAGTGTATAGTGTATCGTAGTGTAGTGTGTAGTGTATAGTGTATCGTAGTGTAGTGTGTAGTGTATCGTAGTGTAGTGTGTAGTGTAGTGTAGAGTGTAGTGTATCGTAGTGTAGTGTATCGTATCGTAGTGTATCATATCGTAGTGTAGTGTAGAGTGTAGTGTAGTGTAGAGTGTAGTGTAGTGTATCGTAGTGTAGTGTAGTGTATCGTAGTGTAGTGTAGAGTGTAGTGTAGAGTGTAGTGTATCGTAGTGTAGTGTAGCGTGTATCGTAGTGTGTAGTGTATCGTAGCGTAGTGTATCGTAGAGTGTAGTGTAGTGTGTATCGTAGCGTAGTGTATCGTACTGTAGTGTAGTGTAGCGTGTATCGTAGTGTAGTGTATTGTAACGTAGTGTAGTGTATAGTGTAGTGTATTGTATCGTAGTGTAGTGTAGCGTGTATCGTAGTGTAGCGTGTATCGTAGCGTAGTGTAGCGTAGTGTAGCGTGTAGCGTGTAGCGTAGTGTAGTGTAGCGTAGTGTAGCGTAGTGTAGCGTGTAGCGTAGCGTAGCGTATCGTAGTGTAGAGTGTAGTGTAGTGTAGCGTGTATCGTAGTGTAGTGTAGAGTGTACATATCGTAGTGTAGTGTAGCGTGTATCGTAGTGTAGTGTAGCGTAGTGTAGCGTGTAGCGTAGCGTAGCGTAGTGTAGTGTAGCGTGTATCGTAGTGTAGTGTAGCGTGTATCGTAACGTAGTGTAGCGTGTAGCGTAGCGTAGTGTAGCGTGTAGCGTAGTGTAGCGTGTAGTGTAGTGTAGCGTGTAGTGTAGTGTAGCGTATCGTAGTGTAGAGTGTAGTGTAGTGTAGCGTGTAGTGTAGTGTAGCGTGTAGTGTAGTGTAGCGTGTAGTGTAGTGTAGCGTGTAGTGTAGTGTAGCGTGTAGTGTAGTGTAGCGTGTAGTGTATAGTGTATCGTAGCGTAGTGTGGAGCACGTCTCCGCCGCGCTACCAGAGTGAGCGGCGTCGCTGGGCGGGGGGCTCCAGTCCTCCGGCTCGTCGCCGTCATCGTCGCTACCCAGGCTGTGCTCCAGCTCCACCGGCTCGGCCCTCGTCAGCTCCCCGGCCAGCTCGCTCGGCCCGTCCACGTCGTCCGTCAGGCCCGCCACGATCTTCCGCACCGTGTCCTCGCGCGACCTACGTCGTCATCGTTGGCGTCACCGTCATCGACGTCGTCATCACTGTCGTCATCGACGTCGTCGTCATCATCGTCGTCATCACCGTCGTCATCATCCTCGTCATCAACGTCGTTACCGCCATCGTCGTCGTCATCGTCAGCGTATGCGTGTGAGTGAGTACGAGTGAGTGAGTGAGTGTGTGAGTGAGCGAGTGAGTGAGCGTGAGTGAGTGAGAGTGAGTGAGTGAGTACGAGTGAGTAAGTGAGTACGAGTGGGTGAGTGAGTGAGTGAGAGTGAGTGAGTGAGTGTGTGAGTGAGTGGGTGAGTGAGTACGAGTGAGTGAGTGAGTAAGTGAGTGAGTGAGTACGAGTGAGTGAGTGAGTACGAGTGAGTGAGTGAGTGTGCGAGTGAGTGAGTACGAGTGAGTGAGTGAGTACGAGTGAGTGAGTGAGTGAGTACGAGTGAGTGAGTGAGTGAGTGGGTGAGTGGGTGAGTGAGTGAGTGAGTGTGCGAGTGAGTGAGTGAGTACGAGTGAGTGAGTACGAGTGAGTGTGAGTGAGTGAGTATGAGTGTGCGAGTGAGTACGAGTGAGTGGGTGAGTGAGTGAGTGAGAGTGAGTGAGTGAGTGGGTGAGTGAGTGGGTGAGTGAGTGAGTGAGTACGAGTGAGTGACTACGGGTGAGTGAGTGAGTGAGTGAGTGGGTGAGTGAGTGAGTGAGTGGTGAGTGAGTGAGTGAGTATGAGTGACTGAGTGAGTGAGTGAGCGAGTGAGTGAGTGAGTACGAGTGAGTTAGTGAGTGAGTGTGTGTGTGAGTGGGTGAGTGAGTGAGTACGAGTGAGTGAGTGAGTGAGTAAGTGAGTGGGTGAGTGAGTACGAGTGAGTGAGTGAGTACGAGTGAGTGAGTGGGTGAGTGAGTGAGTACGAGTGAGTGAGTGAGTGAGTAAGTGAGTGGGTGAGTGAGTACGAGTGAGTGAGTGGGTGAGTGAGTGAGTGAGAGTGAGTGAGTGAGAGTGAGTGAGTACGAGCGAGTGAGTGAGTGAGTGGGTGAGTGAGTGAGTGAGTACGAGTGAGTGAGTACGGGTGAGTGAGTGAGTGAGTGGTGAGTGAGTGAGTGAGTATGAGTGACTGAGTGAGTGAGTGAGTGAGCGAGTGAGTGAGTGAGTACGAGTGAGTGAGTGAGTGTGTGAGTGAGTGAGTGTGTACGAGTGAGTTGGTGAGTGAGTGAGTGAGTGGGTGAGTGAGTGAGTGAGTACGAGTGAGTGAGTGAGTGTGTGAGTGAGTGGGTGAGTGAGTGAGTACGAGTGAGTGAGTGAGTAAGTGAGTGGGTGAGTGAGTACGAGTGAGTGAGTGAGTACGAGTGAGTGAGTGGGTGAGTGAGTGAGTACGAGTGAGTGAGTGAGTGAGTAAGTGAGTGGGTGAGTGAGTACGAGTGAGTGAGTGGGTGAGTGAGTGAGTACGAGTGAGTGAGTAAGTGAGTGGGTGAATGAGTACGAGTGAGTGAGTGAGTACGAGTGAGTGAGTGAGTGTGCGAGTGAGTGAGTGAGTACGAGTGAGTGAGTGAGTACGAGTGAGTGAGTGAGTGGGTGAGTGGGTGAGTGAGTGTGCGAGTGAGTGAGTACGAGTGAGTGAGTACGAGTGAGTATGAGTGAGTGAGTATGAGTGTGCGAGTGAGTACGAGTGAGTACGAGTGTGTACGAGTGAGTACGAGTGAGTGAGTGAGTACGAGTGTATGAGTGTGTACGAGTGTGTACGAGTGTGTACGAGTGTGTATGAGTGAGTACGAGTGTGTGAGTGAGTACGAGTGTGTATGAGTGTGTACGTGGGTACGAGTGAGTGAGTACAAGTGAGTGAGTACGTGTGAGTACGAGTGAGTGCGAGTGTGTACGAGTGTGTACGAGTGTGTACGAGTGTGTACGAGTGTGTACGAGTGTGTACGAGTGAGTACGAGTGTGTATGAGTGAGTACGAGTGTATGAGTGTGTATGAGTGTGTGTGAGTGTGTACGAGTGTGTACGAGTGTGTACGAGTGTACGAGTGAGTACGAGTGTGTATGAGTGAGTACGAGTGTGTACGAGTGTGTATGAGTGTGTATGAGTGAGTACGAGTGTATGAGTGTGTATGAGTGTGTGTGAGTGTGTACGAGTGTGTACGAGTGTACGAGTGAGTACGAGTGTGTATGAGTGTGTATGAGTGAGTACGAGTGAGTACGAGTGTGTACGTGTGAGTACGAGTGAGTGAGTGAGTACGAGTGAGTGAGTGAGTACGAGTGTGTGAGTGTGTACGAGTGTGTACGAGTGTGTGAGTGAGTACGAGTGAGTACGAGTGTGTACGAGTGTGTATGAGTGTGTATGAGTGTGTATGAGTGTGTACGAGTGTGTATGAGTGTGTATGAGTGTGTGTGAGTGTGTGAGTGTGTACGAGTGTGTATGAGTGTGTATGAGTGAGTACGAGTGAGTACGAGTGTGTACGTGTGAGTCCGAGTGAGTGAGTGAGTACGAGTGAGTGAGTGAGTACGAGTGTGTGAGTGTGTACGAGTGTGTACGAGTGTGTGAGTGAGTACGAGTGAGTACGAGTGTGTACGAGTGTGTATGAGTGTGTACGAGTGTGTATGAGTGTGTACGAGTGTGTATGAGTGTGTGTGAGTGTGTACGAGTGTGTACGAGTGTGTATGAGTGTGTATGAGTGTGTACGAGTGTGTACGAGTGAGTACGAGTGTGTACGAGTGTGTACGAGTGTGTGAGTGTGTACGAGTGAGTACGAGTGAGTGAGTACGAGTGTATGAGTGTGTACGAGTGTGTACGAGTGTGTACGAGTGTGTGAGTGTGTACGAGTGTATGAGTGTGTATGAGTGAGTACGAGTGAGTACGAGTGAGTGCGAGTGTGTACGAGTGTGTACGAGTGTGTACGAGTGTGTACGAGTGTGTACGAGTGTGTATGAGTGAGTACGAGTGTGTATGAGTGAGTACGAGTGTATGAGTGTGTATGAGTGTGTGTGAGTGTGTACGAGTGTGTACGAGTGTGTACGAGTGTACGAGTGAGTACGAGTGTGTATGAGTGAGTACGAGTGTGTACGAGTGTGTATGAGTGTGTATGAGTGAGTACGAGTGTATGAGTGTGTATGAGTGTGTGTGAGTGTGTACGAGTGTGTACGAGTGTACGAGTGAGTACGAGTGTGTATGAGTGTGTATGAGTGAGTACGAGTGAGTACGAGTGTGTACGTGTGAGTACGAGTGAGTGAGTGAGTACGAGTGAGTGAGTGAGTGAGTACGAGTGTGTGAGTGTGTACGAGTGTGTACGAGTGTGTGAGTGAGTACGAGTGAGTACGAGTGTGTACGAGTGTGTATGAGTGTGTACGAGTGTGTATGAGTGTGTACGAGTGTGTATGAGTGTGTATGAGTGTGTGTGAGTGTGTGAGTGTGTACGAGTGTGTATGAGTGTGTATGAGTGAGTACGAGTGAGTACGAGTGTGTACGTGTGAGTCCGAGTGAGTGAGTGAGTACGAGTGAGTGAGTGAGTACGAGTGTGTGAGTGTGTACGAGTGTGTACGAGTGTGTGAGTGAGTACGAGTGAGTACGAGTGTGTACGAGTGTGTATGAGTGTGTACGAGTGTGTATGAGTGTGTACGAGTGTGTATGAGTGTGTGTGAGTGTGTACGAGTGTGTACGAGTGTGTATGAGTGTGTATGAGTGTGTACGAGTGTGTACGAGTGAGTACGAGTGTGTACGAGTGTGTACGAGTGTGTGAGTGTGTACGAGTGAGTACGAGTGAGTGAGTACGAGTGTATGAGTGTGTACGAGTGTGTACGAGTGTGTACGAGTGTGTGAGTGTGTACGAGTGTATGAGTGTGTATGAGTGAGTACGAGTGTATGAGTGTGTACGAGTGTGTACGAGTGTGTATGAGTGTGTGTGAGTGTGTACGAGTGTGTACGAGTGTGTATGAGTGTATGAGTGTGTATGAGTGTGTACGAGTGTGTGAGTGTGTGTGAATGTGTATGAGTGTGTACGAGTGTGTATGAGTGTGTGTGAGTGTGTACGAGTGTGTACGAGTGTGTATGAGTGTATGAGTGTGTATGAGTGTGTATGAGTGTGTACGAGTGTGTACGAGTGTGTACGAGTGTGTATGAGTGAGTACGAGTGTGCGAGAGTCACCGTAGGTACTTGCGCACCGGCTGGCACACTACGTCCAGGGTGACCCCGGTGGGGTCCAGCTGGGTCAGCGCGCGGATCGCCGAGATGTACAGTGTGATGATGTCATCCGTGTTCACTCCTGGGGGGGGGGGGGAGACGCGGGGAGACGCATGTTGTGATACAGACATAGGGAAGTGATAATCAACTCGACCACCGCCACTGCAACAGCGACCACCACCGCCACCAAAGACAAAGATCCCCCGTACTGCCTTAACAGACTGTTGGGGCAAGCGCTGTTCACAAGCAGCACCTTTGAAGGCCGGCACGGCACACGAGGGGGTGGGTGGCCAACACCACGCCCGGCCGCCTTTGTCTCCCCAGTGGCGATGTCTACACACCGCGTACCAGGTACTCATTTTGAGGCCGAGTCGACCTAGGGGAGGCCCAGGATCGGTTCAGATAATCGTCACCGGTGCTGGCCATGAGCGGGAATCGAACCCGGGTCGTCGGTTTCGTAGCGCAGCGTAGCGCTAACTACACTACCTTCTTTGGTTCTTTCGGTAAAGTCACGTCCTCCAGACAGTCTCGTCCCTTCACCTGATGAAGGCCGCTTGTGTTGTGGCCGAAACGTTGTGAGAATATTATTGTGTTATTTTATTTTATCAATTTATTATTTTATTCTCGTTCTACGTGACTTTACCGAAAGAACCAAAGAAGATGAATCCTTGCAGTCACGAAAGCTTTAAATCGAAACTACACTACCGCTCCTCACACCACTACCACCACTATCGTCACCACCACCACCATTAATGTCACCACCATCACTCCCGTCACCACCACCACTACCGTCACCACCACTACCGTCACCACCACCACTGCCGTCACCACCACCACTACCGTCACCACCACCACTACCGTCACCACCACCACTACCGTCACCACCACCACTACCGTCACCACCACCACCATTAACGTCACCACCACCACTACTGTCACCACCATTAACGTCACCACCACCACTACCGTCATCACCACTACCACCACTACCATCACCACCACCACTGCCGTCACTACCACTACCATCACTACCACTACCGTCACCACCACCACCACTACCGTCACCACCACCACTACCGTCACCACCACCACTACCGTCACCACCACCACTACCGTCACCACCACCACTACCGTCACCACCACCACTGCAGTCACTACCACTACCGTCACCACCACTACCATCACCACCACTACCACTACCGTCACCACCACTACCACTACCGTCACCAACACGACCGTCACCAACACGACCATCACCACCACTACCGTCACCACTACTACTACCATCACCACCACCACTACAATCACCACCGTCACCACCACCACTGCCGTCACCACCACCACTACCGTCACCACCACCACCACTACCGTCACCACCACCACTACCGTCACCGTCACCACCACCACCACCGCCACCACCACCACCACCACCACCGTCACCACCACACCTGGGTGCAGCAGTCTCGTCTCGAGTGCCGTTTTGAGGGAGGCCACGAGCTGCCCTTTCTGGTTCGTCTTCTTCAGGCAGACCTGCAGCTCCTGCAGTGCATGCTGGGACTCCGGGTAGTCTAGACGGGGAGGAGAGGGCGGCATCGACAAGAGATTAGGGTCTCTGTGTACTTCTATGGGTCTCTGTGTGATGAGTCTATGGGTCTCTGTGTACTTCTATGGGTCTCTGTGTGATGAGTCTATGGGTCTCTGTGTGATGAGTCTATGGGTCTCTGTGTGATGAGTCTATGGGTCTCTGTGTGGTGAGTCTATGGGTCTCTGTGTACTTCTATGGGTCTCTGTGTGATGAGTCTATGGGTCTGTGTACTTCTATGGGTCTCTGTGTGATGAGTCTATGGGTCTCTGTGTACTTCTATGGGTCTCTGTGTGATGAGTCTATGGGTCACTGTGTACTTCTATGGGTCTCTGTGTGATGAGTCTATGGGTCTCTGTTTGTGACAAGTCTCTAGGTCTCTGTGTGATGAGTCTATGGGTCTCTGTGTGATGAGTCTATGGGTCTCTGTGTACTTCTATGGGTCTCTGTGTGATGAGTCTATGGGTCTCTGTGTGATAAATCTATAGGTATCTGTGTGATGAGTCTGTGGGTCTCTGTGTGGTGAGTCTATGTGTCTCTGTGTGATGAGTCTATGTGTCACTGTGTGACAAGTCTATGGGTCTCTCTGTGTGACAAATCTCTAGGTATCTGTGTGATGAGTCTGTGGGTCTCTGTGTGATGAGTCTATGGGTCTCTGTGTGATGAGTCTATGGGTCTCTGTGTGATGAGTCTGTGGATCTCTGTGTAATGAGTCTATGGGTCTCTGTGTGGTGAGTCTATGGGTCTCTGTGTGATGAGTCTATGGGTCTCTCTGTGTGATGAGTCTATGGGTCTCTCTGTGTGATGAGTCTATGGGTCTCTGTGTGATGAGTCTATGGGTGTCTGTGTGATGAGTCGATGGGTCTCTGTGTGATGAGTCGATGGGTCTCTGCATGATGAATCTATGGATCTCTGTGTGATGAGTCTGTGGGTCTCTGTGTGATGAGTCGATGGGTCTCTGTGTGATGAGTCTATGGGTCTCTGTGTGATGAGTCTATGGGTCTCTGTGTGGTGAGTCTATGGGTCTCTCTGTGTGATGAGTCTGTGGGTCTCTGTGTGATGAGTCTATGGGTGTCTCTGTGTGATGAGTCTATGTGTCTCTGTGTGATGAGTCCATGGGTTTCTGTGTGATGAGTCTGTGGGTCTCTGTGTGGTGAGTCTATGTGTCTCTGTGTGATGAATCTATGGATCTCTGTGTGATGAGTCTATGGGTCTCTCTGTGTGGTGAGTCTATGGGTCTCTCTGTGTGATGAGTCTATGGGTCTCTGTGTGATGAGTCTATGGGTCTCTGTGTGATGAGTCTGTGGATCTCTGTGTGATGAGTCTGTGGGTCTCTGTGTGATGAGTCTATGGGTCTCTCTGTGTGGCAAAGGCTGCCAAAAGGGGAACAGCACACAAGGACAATGCAACCACCAGAGCATGAACAGCTCGGGTTAAGCAGGAAGATCTCCTTGGTTGCCCGCATCAAGACAATCACAACAAATCATTGAAGGCTTCACACCCTTTCTGGCAACTTACACACGCGAGGTGTCGAGATGTTCGAAGGCATCAAACGGACCGGCCACTTGACTCGGGATTAACCACACGCGCGCTCTGCGCTACACAGATATTCTTCGACGAGGGACAGCCTCGTCCGCTGGCTCCGTCTCGCCGGCACCAGCGAGCAAAGACGGGGGGACGGCCAAAAGGCGGACGCAGCACAAGGGCCATGCCAAACGCCTACACCGCACCTCGGATGATGTTGAACAGCTCGCTGATCCTGACGGCCGCGAAGGCCTGGTACAGGAAGTACTGAAGACGAGTCCGCCAGCGGCCCAGGGCGGCTTGCACCGTGCCGCCGCCGCCGCCTTCCTCCGACACCGCCCGTCCACCGTCACCCTCGCCGTGGAACACCATGCGGAGCCAGCGCAGGGCGCGGAACTCCAGCCACTGGGGCAGCAGCAGCAGCAGTAAATTAATAAAAACTACAAACTGTTTTAGCTGCTACTACTGCTGCAGTAGCAGCAGCATCAGTAGCAGGAGTTATAGTTATAGCAGCAGCAGTAGCAGCAGGAGCAGCAGGAGCAGCAGTAGTAGCAGCAGTTATAGTAGTAGCAGCAGTAGCAGTAGTAGTTATAGCAGCAGCAGTAGCAGCAGGAGTAGTAGTATCAGTAGTTATAGCAGCAGTAGTTATAGCAGCAGCAGTAGTAGTAGTAGCAGCAGTAGTAGCAGCAGCAGTAGTAGCAGTAGCAGCAGCAGTAGTAGTAGCAGCAGTAGTAGCAGCAGCAGTAGCAGCAGTAGTAGTAGCAGTAGTAGCAGCAGTAGCATCAGGAGTAGTAGTAGCAGTAGTTATAGCAGCAGCAGCAGTAGTTATAGCAGGAGCAGTAGTAGTTATAGCAGCAGCAATTATAGCAGCAGCAGTTATAGTTATAGCAGCAGTAGCAGCAGTAGTTATAGCAGCAGGAGTAGCAGTAGTAGCAGTAGTTATAGCAGCAGCAGTAGTAGTTATAGCAGCAGCAGTAGTAGTTATAGCAGCAGCAGTAGTTATAGCAGCAGCAGTAGTGGCAGTAGTTATAGCAGCAGCAGTAGTTAGCAGTAGTAGTAGCAGTAGTTATAGCAGCAGCAGTAGCAGCAGTAGCAGCAGCAGTAGTAGTAGCAGTAGTTATAGCAGCAGCAGTAGTAGCAGTAGCAGCAGTAGTAGTAGTAGCAGCAATAGCAACAGGAGCAGTAACAGCAGCAGCAGCATGGACAGTAGCAGTAGCAGTTTTAGCAGCAGTAGCAGTTTTAGCAGCAGCAGCAGCAGTTTTAGCAGCAGCAGCAGTAGCAGCAGTAGCAGTAGTATTAGCAGCAGCAGCAGTAGCAGCAGCAGTAGTAGTAGCAGTAGCAGCAGTAGTAGCAGCAGCAGCAGCAGCAGTAGTAGTAGCAGCAGCAGCAGTAGTAGTAGCAGTAGCAGCAGTAGTAGCAGCAGTAGTAGCAGCAGTAGCAGCAGTAGTAGCAGTAGTAGCAGCAGTAGTAGCAGCAGCAGTAGTAGCAGTAGCAGCAGTAGTAGTAGTAGTAGCAGCAGTAGTAGCAGCAGCAGTAGTAGCAGTAGCAGCAGCAGTAGTAGTAGCAGCAGTAGTAGCAGCAGCAGTAGCAGCAGCAGTAGTAGTAGCAGTAGTAGCAGCAGTAGCAGCAGTAGTAGCAGCAGTAGCAGCAGTAGTAGTAGCAGTAGTAGCAGCAGTAGTAGCAGCAGCAGTAACAGCAGCAGTCGCAGCAGTAGCAGCAGTAGTAGCAGCAGTAGTAGTAGCAGTAGCAGCAGCAGTAGTAGCAGCAGCAGTAGCAGCAGCAGCAGCAGTAACAGCAGCATGAATATCAGCAGTACCGTAGAGGAGTCTAACCCAGGGCAGGGGGAGGTGCTGGGGGGGTAAGACTCCCACAGGGGGAGCGATTCCAGCGGCGCTCTTTGAAGGGCGCTTTCCCAACGCGCGGAGCCCTCACCGCTCTCCCAGCGGGGACGGGGGGGGGTGACATGGGGGGGGGGTCAGGGGGGGGCGATGGGGGGTGGGTGGGTCAGGGCTGCATCCCCCACCTGCTCCAGCTGCGCGAGGAACGGCCGCTCGTACTCCCCGCGGCAGTGCCGGGAGATGTGCTGCTCCGTCGTGGCCTGCAGGATCGCCGTCACGGCCTCCGCACCGACGCGCTCCAACAGGCACAGCCGCTGCCTGCACGCGCACGGAGAGACGGAGAGAGACACGCGCGCGCGGAGATAAACACGCGGAAATAAACACACGGAGACACACACACACAGAGATACACGCGCGGAGATAAACACGTGGAAATACCCAGAGATATACACACACACGGAGATACACACACACAGAGATACACGCGCGGAGATAAACACGCGGAAATACCCAGAGATACACACACACAGAGATACACGCGCGGAGATAAACACACACACACACAGAGACACGCGCGCGGAGATAAACACGTGGAAATACCCAGAGATATACATACACACACAGAGATACACACACAGAGATACACGCGCGGAGATAAACACGCGGAAATACCCAGAGACACACACACACAGATACACGCACGGAGATAAACACACGGAAATACCCAGAGATACACACACAGAGATACACACACAGAGGTACACATGCACACAAATAAGAGATACACACACGGAATACCCAGACACACACACAGATACACACACGGAGATACACATGAACACCAATAAGAGATACACACACGGAATACCCAGAGACACACACACACACAGATACACACAGAGATACACACACGGAGATACACATGAACACCAATAGAGATACACACACGGAATACCCAGAGATACACACACACAGAGATACACATGCACACAAATAGAGATACACACACGGAATACCCAGAGACACACACACACACACAGATACACATGCACAGAAACACACACAGAGATAAACACGCGGAAATACACATGCAGAGATACACACACAACAACAACAACCGCCATTCGCCACTAAGTGGCGGTGACGTCACCACGACGCTTGTGCCAAGCCAAGTGCACCTTGAGGCCACGTGAAGTGTCGAACGCCCGTTGGCAGGAGGTCACGGGGCAGACCCAGGTGCCACGGGTCGACTGACTGAGATGACTGGCTGATGCACCACCTGTGCCCCCCTACTGTGCCAACCTGCTGTGCTTTAGCCACCCGGCGCTCCGCTCGTTGTTGTGAGCGTCGCTCCTCCGCCCTCCGTTGTTTTTGGAGGGCGACTGCCTCCAACTGCCCAATAGCGTCCTTCACGAGCCTCCTCCACAGAGGCCGATCTTGACACCGCTGGTACCAGTCATCCACTCAGCTCCACGTCCTCCTGTACCACATCACTCCATCTCTTCTCTAGTCCGTGCCGCGCCCGTTTAGCCCCCTCGATCCGGCCGAACAAAAGCTGTTTCGGCATGCGGTGGCTGGGCATACGGGCTACATGACCCAGCCAACGCAGCCTTGCCTGCCGGAGGAGCTCACCGATGGGACCTTGCCCAGATCTTTCAAGGATCTGTGAGCTCCTCACACAATCCAGCCTAGTTAAACCCAGGATGGATCGTAGGCAGGCCAGTCTAAATGTTTCCAACCGGCGAAGATGCTCCATTAAGGGGGTCCACGTTTCGCAAGCGTAGAGAAGGGAGGGAATGACCGTGGCCGAGAAGACCTGAAGCTTAGTGCAGAGCGACAGACCAGGTAGCTTCCACACAGCGTTACACAACCGATGAAAATATATTGCCGCTCGACTGATTCGGAGTGAGACCTCTGCTGTTAAACTGGAGCCGGTCATAAGCACACTGCCCAGGTATGAGAAACTCTCCACTCTCTCCACAACTGCCCCATCACTGATTGGGAGTTGTGGGGGTGGAGTGTCCGATGGTACAAAATACCCAGGCAGGTGCTGCGTTTTGGTGGGGCTGATGGTAAGGCCCCATCTCTTAGTGGCATGCTCAAGTCTCAGCAGCAGCGTCTCCAACTCCTCCTCTGAATGAGCAGCTATTACCAAATCATCGGCATACATAACGTGGTTGAGCAATAGGGAGCCATCCCTTGACCGTACCCGGGCATCGATCAGCCTCCCATTATATTTGTACCAAATGGAGATTCCCCCGGTACAGCTATTGATGGCTTCACGAACTA